TATTGTAAAATCGATAAACGACTTCAATCAAACATATTTTTAAATGCAATCAATATGATGCTTGTGTGTTATTAAAATTAAATGGCCTTAACTTAATCTATTCCGCATCTTAACTGGCTGAACACGATTTATATAAAAAATAATTAATATAGTCATACAGTTATTTAGTGCTAACCTATTTCTAATTGATGTCTTATACATATATGTATTTTTTTCATCTACCCTCATTATCATCTTCACTAAATGGCACAAAACATCGTAGTTTTAAAACTTATTGTATTTTAACACATATACATTAATTCCATTGCGTGAGTAATTTGTTACTTACCTCAGTATTGCATCCGGTTCGAACGACATTCTCTAAGTGTGAATAATATTTTGAGTTCTTTTCTATATATGTATATTATTCCTTAAATGTGTATGGATGTTTGTGAGGATGGGTGGGCTTTGTCGCCTTGAGACATTCCTTTACAGCCTTGGAAGGCATCAGTGTATTCAAGTAACGGAAATAAATTACTAGTATTAGTTTCAGTTAGATTGGCACCCACTGGCTGTATGTAACTGTTTGTGTGTTGAATTCATGTGTGGAAATAGCTTAAATTACAGTAATATAAAAAGGTTTTATAATTAAGAGTTTAATTGACACTGGCAGAATATATGCATGTCTTTGTACGGATGAAATAATATTTAAAAAAAAAACAACCAAGCATTAAGTGTTGCCACCATTTCTTGTTTTTCATATGTTTATAGAAATATTATTTGTTATTTTTTCTATGTTTATGTATGTAATAACAACTATGTATTAAAGACCAGGAAGTATTATTTATGTATATAATATGTATATCTATAGTTGAGTAATAAAATATTTCAAACATTGCATCATTTGAGTGGGTGCCATTCTTAGCGACTTTTGTTATAGTATAACAAATGTAACATAAATTAATTCACTATGACATATTTATGTAATATTTCATATTTTTTATTCATTATTACTTTATTATTTTTAATATTTTTCTTTATAATATTAAATCGTAAATAATAATCGGTTTTGTCATTATTATTTCTGTTCCTACAAAATCATATATATTTATCACTAGAAGAAATGCTAATAGAGATATATAATATAGTAATAATAGTAGGCAAATCTGGTATGTGATTTGTAAAGACGAATCACGAAATCTTTGTAAATTAGCAAGTGGGTAGATATTACATCATAGATCATATAAACTTATTAGTCATAATAAATTGCAATATTTTTGACAACCCTAAATCACTTATTAATGCATTCCCAAAGAGGGTTGGTGTCAGGCAGGCGGCCGGTCGTAAAAACAATTAGCTAAAACTATTCACAACATGTGAGGCAGACCCTGGCTTAAGCTGGGAAATTGCCTGGAAGAAGATTTTTGACAACCCTAATAGTATTATAAGTATATATTATTATATATTATATAATAATCCAGTTAATGACAAATATTTGTTGATCATTTTCCTCATTTTTCGTTTCACAAGCCTATTGTTAATTCGTAATTTTGAGTTTCGTATATTTTTTGTATATATATGTACTTAAAAAGCGATTTGGTTGTTAGGAATATTATACGTTTTAAAAAAAATATACCTAATAATATAAAGTACTAAAAATTATATTTATCATAATTATTACATTATATATTGAAAGGCAATTTATAAAGAAAAAAATACAGAAAAAAACGAACAAATTATGAAAACAAGTGAAATAAAAGAAAGTCTTATCGTCCAGTCTAATATTTAGTTGACAACTTACAGTTGAAGAATAAATATTTAGATGAGATAGTTACATAATATGTAAAAATAATTTTAGTTAATATATGTAATATAAATAAGTATTATATCAATATTCTTTACTTTATTTCTTATTATATTTAATCAGTATAAACAAAAAAGTCGTGCTTAGATTGTGACCTAAAAACTCAGTAACAATTTGGTTTATATTACATATATAACTAATTATAACAGTAAAATTATTTTTAAACCAAGCCAAGTAGTTTAATTACGATATGAAATTAAATTTATATCTCATTTCGTTAGTACATTACGTATTTTAAAGACGCTACAAAGAATAAATGTATTGTGTTGTATATACATATAACATTTTTGTGAAATAAAGTTTTAGAAGCAAACTATGCCAAGGCAAGTGCTTGCGTTATCATCAGGAGTTGAACAAAGTAAGCTGCACGTTCGTAAATAGCTTAACTGTGTCAAAAACAATATACAGAATAGCTTCAACATGTCCATATCATGAAGATAGTAATATCCTTCTCATGTTAAGACGAGTAAGTACACGTAGGGCCATTGACCCACGCGCCGCGCATACCTTGATAAAAATAGACCTCACTGCACGCGCAGATTTCAAATGTACTCGCTAATCGGGAATGCATGACTTGAAACGTCCTGCGTGGAAATAAATATATAGAGTTTTAAACGAAATATACTTTTATGTTGGTAATTGCAGATTCAGACTGCTTTTGACGAGATTATTATAAAGAATACTTGATTCAATGCCTTAAAGTACAACTTAGAAGCTCAAGTTACTGGAATCCAAAACGTCGCTGGTTCGAATCCTGCTTTTGATTATAACATTACTTCTTCTTCTTCTACCTGGCAACTTCCCAGCTTTAGTCGGGTCTTAAATGTTGTGAATAGTTTTGGCTAATTGTTTTTACGACCGGCCGCCTGCCTGCCATCAACAGTCTTTGAGAATGTATCAATCAGTGGTCTAAATACTCTTAGAAAGTACTGTATATGACTCGGAAAAATCACATTGGTACTTGCCCGGGCCAGGATCGAACCCGCGCCCTCGTGCACGAGAGTCGGGCCTTTTAACCACTAGGCCACCACTGACTTTTGATTATAACATTACTATTATGTTATAAAAACTTCGTTATACAAATGATTATAACGTGAATATTAATATTACACAAATGACATAATCCCAAGAGTCTTCGTTACCAACGCGTTTGCCGCGATGTATGTCAGGCAGCGGTAATTCCTTTCCAACGTTAATATTATCAGAACTGAATTAATGAGTCACGAAGCTATCAAAGGGATCCCGTCAGCGTGACGAAAGTTGTCACGTAAGTAATTCATAATCGATCTCAATTAACATACAAAGGCATCGCCCACGAGACTCGGGCGAAGACTCTAGACACGCCATTTACGGCTCATAACATCTCCAATATTTAATAACTTATATATCTGTATATCTAGCTTTGGATAGAACTAATGAAACTCATTACTCAAGATCGTAAAATTATTTATGAAAGCACATCTATATCAATATAATTATGATTCTATATCTGTTAGCTTTCACGCTTAAACTCTATTACACGTATAAGACAGACTGTGTTTCTTGTTTTAAACTCTTAATGAAACTTATTAAGTAATAAGTTCTTATACATGATTATTATCAGGAAAGGTTAAGTAACAACGCACGGGTAACAGCTTGGAATCTTTAAACCGGTAGCTGATTGAGGTGAGGGTCTATGCTCGCTAGCACCGCTGTGTTAATAATGTACTGTGATTACAATTTATTGAAAGTTTATTGAGCATTGATTAATATTATTGGGCAAACCACTAGCATGTAAAGTTAGATGAAACTATTTTAAATGAGTATAGCGTTTATCTTTACGTAAGATAGGTGGCTTCAATCAAAAGAAAGTCGTGAAATAAAGTCAAAAACGGTAAAAGTAAATTATTCTATTTTATAAAATGTAAAGAGAACAATTTATTTCGATGATTACAATAAACATCTCATTCCATTGATACAAAGACACTAAAGATTTGCATTGAGAAAAATTTTCACACAAACTTATTTCTTGCGATGATTTTATTAAATGTGAATCGTGTGATCTGATTTGATAGAACAATGGCCATCTCACGGGCTGGCTCGTTCAGTAAAATGTCTAGTTCAAGGCCCAAATAGATGTAATGCTTACCGTTTTCCCACTACATTATACTACTGGCATCAGGAAGTTCAGACATACGTGATTAAATCTGTCTCTCTTTATATACGTGCGTTTAAAAATGCAGTGTCTGTTACGAGGCGTAGTGCTATAGTAATTGAAAAGATACGCTGGCTTGTATAAAATGTTTTCTACTCTTATACTATTGATACAGCAGTTTTGAAAACGTGTTAGGTTATATTAACAAATGTAAGAAGCTATAACTTTAACTCTTTGTGTACTTGCGGCGATGTTTAAGTTTGAAACTTGCATGTTTATATATCTAAGTTTCTTAGTACTATTGTGGAATTCGACGTTAGTTTTTCGCAACAAAATAATACTAATTAATAATATAATAATTGGGTACATAGATTGTTAGTTGGCAGATTATTTTTTAAAATTGGTAATGACGATAGTGACAATTCGTTTGCATTTTAAAACATTTAGATTCAAATGTTCATATTTTAGCTCTCGGTATAAAACGGTGATAGTATTCTTTATCTTATACTGTTTTAATTTCACAAATGAATTTAACGTAAGGACAGTATTTTAATATTATTTTATTTTTATGGTATGATCATTTACTATATTTTAAGCAACGTTTAATTTTAAACTTTTGCTTGAGTGTGTTCCTTCGCAATAACATTTTTATTGGATGCAATCATGTGTCGAAAGATGTACGGTATTTTTATAATTCTAACATATTATATAGAGTCGCTTATTAGTTATGTTTTATATGGTAAAAATAATTATATTTTATTTACAAATTATTTTAATATGTACTGAGTATTATTGTACTGAATATGATATTTACTTTCGTTTTTATTTGTTCTAGATGAAATGAAGATGTTAATGAAATGGAATTTCAAATTGAATTATTCAACCACAATTTTGGGATGACAAAGGTATGGACACTTAAATTAAAAACATTAAAAAATGTTATAAAAGCAGTATAAATATTGTTGAATGTTATATCATATTTGTATTAATTAATGTATTGTTTTGCAATCCCAGTGAGTCATTATGTCTCAATCGGCGTTAGGTGTATCTGCTGCTGAGCGGAGATACTCCGTACCCTCACAACCCATGATGCAAGATCCGAGGGGAATGCATTCAGAGGATTTACACGCCTGGTCCATATACAGGTAAAAAAACGATACATACATACATACAGCGAAGGAATCAGAAATTATTAGATTAATTTGTCATTATATAGGTGTTGGTAATAAATAGTACATTTGTATTGGAAATACTGTATTTTCTCTATGGTACTGTTATTCTATGTTTGTCTATTTTATAAATGAAAAATGGTGTGCTTTGTAAAAAGTGTAGTCCTTAATAAAAATTGATTATGAACTATATGTTCACAAGTGTTATTTTTCATATTAAGAATAGGAAAATATTTTTGCACACATTTTATAAGTACATAGATAGAGAAGAGTGTTGAATTATTATAATTCGTAAAGATACCAATGTATATTATATAGGAAGTCTTTAGTTTGTGACGTTTTTGTTTCGCTTAAAACGCAACTTAAATATTAACAAATCGTGTTATATGTATTTCTTGATAAGCTTATGATTTGTTATTACCAACCATACGTGATGATTTAATAAGATTTTTTTATTAATATACTTCATAACGAAATTGGAAAGTGCATAATTTTTGACCCTGTCAGTTGATCTTTACGAAGGAAATTTATTTAACACTTTTCCTCCAAAATAGAAAAAAAATTTTTTCCAGATCATTATTTTAAAAATTGTCTATTTATTTTACATAATTTTATAAAATGCGTACCCTACTTTTATGATAGAATAAATAATCTTATAGCACTTAAAAGAACTTACTTTCTAATAATTATCGTTTATGTATCTTTTTAGGCAAAACTTAAACTCCGATTTCACCGACAGTGCCTTAGGCAGTACTGATAAAAGTCCTCTACCTTACGGGAATTTTCAACTTCGCGATACAACAGTACAATCTATACTATCACATCCCAGATATGGACCTAAGTAAGTAATAGCTTATTATTTTGGTCATAAAACCATTATTATACTTATTTAGATACCACTGACATACGGTGAAGGAAAACATCGTGAGGAAACCTGGACTTATAGTTTCACAATTATAAGTTTGAAGTCACCAACCCGTCTTGAGCAAGCGTGGTGATTAATGCTCAAACCTTCTCCATGTGAGAAGAGGCCTTTGCTCAGCAGTGGGTGTCTGATAGGCTGATGACGACGACGACTATTTCTAGGATAAAATGAACCAGAAATAGATAAAATTAGTATAGATCTTTATATATTTCAGATCGGCTCTCGGATCTAATATGTATACATATCTTAAATTCGGTTTGCCGCGTGTTTTTCCACCGAACCACAATGGATCACAACGATCAGGGACGCCGAAACCTAAAACATCTATTGGAAGCGGAATGAAATCCGTACCAAGGTAGGAAGATACATATAAATTCTTATTTCGTCACTTTCATTACTAGAAGACCCGGCGAACTTCGTATCGCCCTATAATAAAGAAATATCTGTTACGTTTTTTTATTTATATTTTTGGAGTTTACCTATTAAAGCCATAAAACTCCGTGTTTTGAAGTGCGACAGAATGATTGACATATTAGTTAGCTGTCAAATCTAATGTAAAAAACGTGTGTATCAACAATATTAATAAATTAAAAATTAATTAAAAAAACATTGTCCAGCGGACAAAACTGTGAATCTAAACCATTCCCAGATCCCCTTGAACACACACGAAAAATTTCATCAAAATCGGTCCAGTCGTTTGAGAGAAGTTCAGTGACATACACACTCACAGAAGAATTATATATATAAAGATATTTTTTTATCTAGAATCCAAAGACAACCTCGTGGTGCCAGAGAAAACTCTTCAGGATACGATAGTTCTGATAACGAAACGTCAACCAATTATAAATACAGTCGCAAGTATAGATCGGACCCAGATTTCAGAATGCAAAACCTACATCCATCTTACCAGGTAAAGCCAGTCTACAAATCTTCGAAGATAGTGCAAATCCGCGGAACTACCATTGGATAATTCCACGTATCTAAATTAGAAGCAGATTATCAAAAGAAAGTTTAAGCTGAAATATTTTCAATATTAACGACTTTAAGGTATTTTTTTACACTTAGTAATTAATAATAATTGTGAAAAAATTACCTTTAAATTTCGTTAATATAGAAAATATTTTATTAAACTTTCTTTTGATAATCTGCTTCCAATGTATATACGCGGAATGATCAAAGGTAGTTACGCGGATTTGCACTATCGTCTATGACATATAAAACATGTTCAAATTTTTCCTTTACTAAAAAATTTTTATAGCATGCAACTGGAGTTCCTCTAGTGGCTATGCAACAAGCAGGTATAAGAGAATCTCATTGGACTAGTACAAGGAATAAGTCAGTGAGTGAAGCGAATCTGCTAGGAATAGATTCAAGACCTACTCGCTCCTACGGACACAGGAGAAGTAGTGTCGTGGATTATGTACCCGATAATGATCACCAAAGGTATTATAGCTATTAATGCTGTAAAATATTCAATCGTTTGAGAAATAAGTTCGTTTTAGTCTCATTTCATAGAGCATAGATTGTGTTTAGAATATGCAAAATGTGCACAATATATTATACTAGGTTTCCGCGTGGAGTTCGATTATACATATCTCGTTTCCAAGAGAACCTTTCAAAAATCTGGGATGAATCCTATGTTCATTCTCAAGGTCAACTCTATCTCTGTACTAAATTTCATTAAAATCAGTTTTGTGGTTTAGGCGTGAAAGCGTAACAGACAGACAGACAGAGTTACTTTCGCATTTATAATATTAGCAGGAACTTTACAATTTCGGATGATCTTCCTTATAACGTATAAGGACGTTAGTTAGCACTGAATAATAAAGTATTTAGTTGTGTTCATCTTTTTGCATGTATTTTTCAGTTATCTAATGCCGTCCTCTCATCTCGGAGGTCGAATGTCCAAGGCTGGTAGTCACATGTCCCTAGCTCACTCAAGAAAACATTCAACTCTCCGACCTGGTGATCATTTAGATGGTTACACGCATTCTGCGTACATCTATCCTAATTACTACGTAAGTACAGTACAATCTACTATTAAAATTCATATTTTGCAAATATTTTGATAGACTTAAAAATCAGCGGTGGCCTAGTGGTTAAAGGATCCGCCTCTCGTTGCCGAGGGCGCGGGTTCAAACCTGGCAAGTACCAATGTGATTTTTCGGAGTCATATGTACTTTCTGAGAGTATTAAGACACCACTGACATACGGTGAAGGAAAACATCGTGAGGAAACCTGGACTTATAGTTTCACAATTATAAGTTTGAAATCACCAACTCGTCTTGAGCAAGCGTGGTGATTAATGCTCAAACCTTCTCCATGTGAGAAGAGGCAGCTCAGCAGTGGGCTCTGATAGGCTAATGATGATGATTTAAAATTCTAGGTAAATAATTTAGAAATAACGTCGCCGGAAAATAAATCGACGCTACTTGTGTCGGGGCTGAGTTTCGAAGTTAAGTCTGGTGAAATATTAGCTGTGCTAGCGACCTCACAGCAGGAGGCGACTGGCTTACTGGATGTACTGGCTGGAGTTAGGAAAGTGAGTGGTTTAGAAAAATTAAAGTTACTTAGAATACATTGCTAAAATAGGTTGACGTCGATTGAAATTCGGAAAAATTTGGTTTAGAAACCATCCTGAATTAAAAATCATATGTTTTATTTACTTTTATAGAGTTAATATTATTTAGGTATTCCTTAAAGTAAAGAAATCGAAAAGGAGATAAAAATTTATAAATCTTCAAATGTTGTTAACTGAGTCATCTAGACCCAGAGCTAAACCTACCAATTTTTGACTTGTTTTAATGACTTATATTATTACTTCCTAAATAAGTAAGTATAAATCATGAAAATAAAACAAGTCCAAAATAATGTCGTACTTATCAAATTTCCAAGATATATATTAGCGTTCAGATTCAGCTTTTATAGTCTAAGAGTCATTAAAGTCCATGTGTATATTTGGAAACCTCCTACGTCCTATTCACCTAGGAAACGTCCTATTTCACCTATTCAGAAGCTGTCAGGCGACATAGTTCTGAACGGCCAGCCGGTCGCGTCTCCCACGCTCCGTAAGGTGAGCTCGTACGTTCGCTCCGACACTTGTCTGTGTGGAGACATGTCTGTAGAACACACGCTCAGGTTCCACGCTACGCTGCGGGCTCCGAGACACAGACACGCGAAGATGGATGACAGAGATCGGGTGAGTACAGGATATATGTATACGTATGGATGAAACTCACTTATAGGACTAACAGAAGTCACTTATAGGACTAACAGAAGTCATTTATAGGACTAACAGAAGTCATTTATAGGCCTTACAGAAGTCATTTATAGGACTAACAGAAGTCATTTATAGGACTTACAGAAGTCATTTATAGGACTAACAGAAGTCACTTATAGGACTAACAGAAGTCATTTATAGGACTTACAGAAGTCATTTATAGGCCTTACAGAAGTCATTTATAGGACTAACAGAAGTCACTTATAGGACTAACAGAAGTCATTTATAGGACTTACAGAAGTCATTTATAGGACTAACAGAAGTCACTTATAGGACAACAGAAGTCATTTATAGGACTTACAGAAGTCATTTATAGGCCTTACAGAAGTCATTTATAGGACTAACAGAAGTCATTTATAGGACTTACAGAAGTCTTTTATAGGACTAACAGAAGTCACTTATAGGACTAACAGAAGTCATTTATAGGACTTACAGAAACAGCATTTGATTAGAATGTTATATAAAACTATTAATGAAGCTATGTCGTAGTGGTACTAAAAATAATTTTATCGATTTGTGACCAGAAATATATATGAGAGCCTCGTTTTATAGATGTAACGACTAATTTTCAATTAGAAAGTTTTATTTCATTAGTATAATCCTTATTAAAACGAAATCGACCGAATCAAACTCAATCTAATGAATTAACTTTCGATATTATAACGTCTTATTACAGATAAACCTCCTAATCGAGGAATTAGGTCTGGAACAAGTTAGAGACACAAACGTGGAGCGTCTAACTCGCTCGGAGATCAGACGCCTGAACGTGGCGTGTCAGCTGTTAGTTGACCCGGCGGTGTTGATCCTCGACCAGCCAGCCAAAGACATGGACATTTTTGACACGTTCTTCCTGGTGGAGTACTTGAGGAACTGGGCCAGCAGCGGACGAGTCGTCATCATGTCCATACATCCGCCCACTTATGAAATATTTGCTATGTTGACTAAGGTACGGAACTTATTGATGATTAGGTGAAGACTTATCGAAAATGGATATCAGTTTTTTAAATACTTTTATAGTTGTAGGGACTATATTAATGGCAATCTGATGCGGATAGTGAAGTATTTGAGTCAAGTTTCTTTATTTAAAGGTCTCTGTAAGAACGCACTCATATACCAGTTCTTAAAAGTCGAAGCAGACAAAAATTCTGTTGATTTAGGATATTAGTCTTTATTTATTGGTAGTTTAAGGTTATAATCTGTGTTACAGGTGGTGCTTATTTCCGCGGGTCGGACCATGTTCAGTGGCTACAGAAGGGATATGTTGCCATATTTCGCTTCCATAGACTATCCGTGTCCCGCCTACAAGAACCCTTCTGATTACTATCGTAAGAACATATACACGATTACATAGAATGACCCTTGATAATAATAACCTTGAACAAAGTAGTACATATAGAATTCAAATCATTTTCACCTCAGATAACTCGTTTCACAATCATACTCATATCTGAATCTATATCATTTACAACCTAGTAAAAGACTTGGGCCTTTACCGAACTCACATCAATACATTCTTGGAAAGTACTTCGAAGGCAGCCCTAGTAGGTTCTTTTCGAATTTGGTAGAGAGAGGAGCTTGGACAGTGTAGGTGAGCGTATAACGCGCGTTAAATAAGGCCATAAATCTACACCTGGGTGGAAAGTCCCAGATCCGGGGTACACCGACATAGCGGCCGATGGCTTTCGCAGTGGTTTTAGTGAGTAGGTCCTGCCTAGGCCGAGTCTCACACATCCCTTCCGGCCCCACCAAGGCCGGTTGGACGACTCATAAAAAGAGTTTAACTGTTTCATTAAAAAAAAAGGGTCGCAAGTCCCAGGTACTGTTGAAGCCTCTCTCCCTGCAAGAATAGACCTGGCATCTCAAACTAAAACTCAAATAACTTTATTAAATATAGAAGCATTACACTTTCTTATTGATGGTCACTTGAGACACTACCACCGGTTCGAAAAACAAAATACCCTGACCTGAGAAGAACCGGCGAAGGAAACTCAGCGGGTTTTTTTTTATATATACAGGGTGACTGGTTAATTACTATCAATATTTAAGGAGAATACTCGGTACATGATTCTCATTCGAATTATGTAAAAAAAATAGGCACTTAATTTTTGACAAAATTTCCGTATAAATAAGTAAAGTGTTGACACGTTCCAAGTGTTCAAGTGTGGACGCGTGCGGCGTCGTGCTGATACAACACCACGTCGCGACACGCGTATGTGTGAGTGTGAGTGTATACCTAATCTGTAGGGTATTCACACGATGCGTAATTAATTACATAACTTTTGGTTAACTTTACTTAGAAGTTTATTAATATTTATGTTATATTAATTTTTATTTTGTCATATATGATCGTCAAATATCACGTCCTCAAATATCGATAGTAATTCACCAGTCACCCTGTATATTTGTCTCATATATTACATACACAATTTAATATGAGACAAGACATCTACAAGGCGAATACATAGAATGCTAAGCGGTTGCCAACTACATATTCAAGTACATTCATACAAGGAAGCTTTCTCTCATTTTCTAGTTGATCTAGTGACGCTAGACGACCTCTCCCCGGCCGCCATGTTGGAGTCTTCAGGTCGTATCGAGTCTCTGTCCGGAGTGTTCCAGGGCGCGCACTCCCCCCCAGAGCCGCCACCCCCCGTGCCTCTCCCCGCGCCTGTCCGACGAGCTAACGTGTTCGTTCAAGTATTCGCTATGCTGGAGTAAGTCTATATTACATATTATCATTACCATCTTTCCGCAACAGCTTCGCCCACGTGGAGTTCGGTTATATCGCGTTTCCAAGAGGACCTTTCAAAAGTCTGGTATAAAAACTATCCTATGTTCTTCCTCAAGGTCAACTCTATGTCTGTACCAAATTTCATTAAAATCAGTTCAGTGCTTTAGGCGTGAAAGAGTAACAGACAGACAGACAGACAGAGTTACTTTCGCATTTATAATATTAGTAGGGATAGTTTGGCATATTCTGTGATCGCGAATGATTTGAACATTGGATTTTGTTATTGTTTTCCTAATATTTCCTAATATTTTGATATATCATTGTTTTCCTAATTGTGAGATGAGTATTGAAGGATAAAAAAAATGTTTTAATAAATTACAGAAAATCATTGCTGTACACCCAAATGTCGACGTTATGTAACGTGATCACGCGGATCCTCATAGCAGGCGTCATGTCCATCATCACTGGCGTTGTGTTCTGGGACCTGCCCGCCACCGACCCTAAGGTACGGACTATGGGGACCTTCAATATTATATTATTATTATAATTATTATAGTACTATCAATTCACCGTAGGTCTAGTCACGAAAAGACAGTGAAAAGTATGGAATATTTATATCAATTGAAAATTAAGATGATTGCAAACAAATAATTTTCTTCTCGAGAACATAATATACGCATAAATACTTATTGAACATATCCATCTGAAAATCAGTGCTGTGCTAATGCACAGCGTATACTGAAATGGACCCCCTTGCTACAAATTAATTTTTTTTTTCTGTATAACTGTATAATATATGTAATGTATGTGTGTAGCAAAAAATAAAAATAAATAAATAAATACATAATAACCGTGTTTATATGGTAATAATGACGAGTCATTACTTTTTATTGAATGACATAATTCTCTTCTATGAATCTATCCACTGTAAAGTTCATTATAGTATAATAATCAACTATATTCATATCTTTCGTGTATCAGTTAACCCTGAACGACCGTATTGGTTTCCACTACTCGGTGCTATGCGTGTGTTTGTTCCCGAGCCTCGTGTGGACTAGTCGCGAGGCGGCTTCAACCCGCCCGCACGTCGAGAGAGACATCGCCAGCGGACTTTACTCACGGACATTGTTCATACTATACGATGTACGAACACTACATTATATTATATAATTGACTGCTTTGATACTGCATTATTTTATATAGTATGTGTATTGATTGAACTTGTCATTGCTAATAACTCTGCCTTTACATGTATGTATATGATAAAAGATGGCGCTGACATAATTTTATCTAACCTTGAAGTAATGAAAGAAAAATTTTTGATTTTCTTTAATATATATACATGATAATTTTATCTATTTGGTTTTTCCCATGAAATAGTAGTTCCTTAATTGTTCAATGTCCATATTAAGTCGTAGTTATATTTTTGCAGCAATTCATGGAGCTATGGTCGGCTACATTGACGTGGTTGGCGTATTTAGTCCCGAGTTACGCTATGAGCGGTCTGTACGCACAGACAGCGGGCTCCTTCGACGGGTTCTACATTTATTTAGGTAAATACAACATTATCTATATATATAAAAGAGATTTCCGCCTATATATTGACTCATCACGATATCTCTGGAATCATAAGGCGTAGCGACTTGAAATTTGGTAGGATTATTCGTTTCGCCGAATAGAGATCAGCTAAGAACGGATTTTATGAAATTTCAACCACAAGGGGGGTTTCGGGGGGTAAACAGTGAAAAATACGCTTTCATGCCTAAACCACCAAACTGATTTTAATGAAATTTGATACTTGAGAAAGAACGTAGCATAGTTTTTATCCCAGACTTTTGAAAGGTCTTGGAAACGCGATATAACCGAACTCCACGGGGGCAAAGCAGTCAGAAAGCTAGCCAATAATAAAACGATCACAAATGTATTATATTCAAGGTAATGTTATTTTGTTCCAGGTTACATGTTATTATATCTGATAAGCGTCCAAATGTTATGTCGCGCGACAGTATTCGTGATAGGCAAGGAGAAGTGTTCCGTAGCGTTATCTTGTTTCTGTTTGTTCCTCACGACACTCGTGAACGGCGTGATGCTGCATCAACTAGACTTACCTTTCTACGTGAAATGGCTGGAATACGTGTCACCTTCAAAATGGACGATACCGGAGATACTGAAGCGAGAACTGAGCGAAGTCGCGCTGAGATCTAGTATAAGCAAGGACTTGAGATGTACGAATAAACAGGTGAATAGATTTATTATAGTACTAGCTGCGTATCGCGGTGTTACCGGCGGATTTTCGGGATGTAAAGTAGCCTATATCTTATTCCTGGACGTCAGCTTCCTGTATACAAAATGTTATCAAAATCGGTTCAGCCGTTTGAGCGTGAAGAAGTAACAAACATACACACACACTTACAAATTTTCGCAATTATAATGTTAGTAGGATTCGTGGAAAGTTATATTTAGAAACGACTTTTTTTTATTTATTTAACACACCAACAGTACACATATGCAACATTTACATAAAAATACATTCAAAAGTATAGATCTTCATATACACCTATTACAGGTATTCACAGCAGTGTCTAAAAAGTTTTATTTGTTATAAAATAACACTTACTATATTAAATTACTACTACAAAAAAAAAGCTTCTACGCTTTACCTAATAAACAATTGTTCCTTATAGTATAGTAATATCCCATGAATCTTGTAACTCTTTGTTTTGCTTTCAATTTTGTTTTTAATTCTAATTTAATTTAATTCAATTTGTTTTTTGTGTATTTCTTTAAGTGGAAACTTGATTGATTTATGTTTTTTTTATTGTTTTTATTTTTATATTACAGTGTTTCTATTTTGTTTCCCAAATAAAATAAATCCTCATTCCAGCGTCAACACTTGGAGATCATAGTACAATCATCATGTCCGCTGCCCAACGGAACCCAAGTATTATCTAACTACGCCTTCCTCGATTCAGACCACATCTATCAGTTGACAGAAGACACTTTCCTAATCGCTTTATCTATTTTCTACGCTGTATTCGCTCTAGTCGCCATATTTGCGTTTATTTTCGATTGTACCGACTATGTTAAAAGCAAAGAACGAACGTCGCGTAAAGGTTACAAAGTAACCCCCAACACGCCCTAGAATTACATATCATGTGAAGCTGATTTGGTGCTATTTTAAGTAGAAACATGTTAGATACTAGGATTAATGAATAAAAAACTTGTAATGATAATTTAAATCTACAAAAATGGTTAAAACATGCTCTGATGTACAAAAAGTGCAAGTTGAATTATGTTTTTCTTTTATTATTAAAAGAAAATATATGATATATATGGTCGGCTACTAGATATTATCCACAACTTCACCCCATATTTGAAAAATGTCTTAATACTAAAAAGACAATTAAAAACAATTACTTAGCTCAATTGGTTCGACAAAATAGTTAAATACAGTAAGAAACTACAGAAAATAAATTGTGACATTGCTAGAGAGGGAAACAACTTATTTTTATTAATGTCTATGGTAGCAATTCTAAATTATTTTCATCACCGAAACACAGACTATAGACAAGATATATTTTACTCGTCAATCAAGAGCATCAATACAATGCTACTGATCATAATATTATAGTTGAACTATTCATGTAGTACTAAAATGTTAATTTTATTAAATGTACAAAATTATATATAATAGATAAGATTAAATAAAGAAGGCTGAATATTGAACGTCTTCCGTCCATAATAACTTTTAAGATGCATTAATAAGTACAGTAGGTATATTCTGATGTTTGAGAGATAATTTTAATAAACCAATAAATGTCCATTTTGACCTCATTTTTAATGAATGTGCTCAATTTAAAAATGGTGCTCATTTGATTCATAATGTATTTTCATTACTGGTAACTAAACGAATTATGAGGTTGAATAATTTTTAATTTGATCCATTTAATATGAAATTTGTGTATAAATAAGATATTAGAACTAATTGGCTATTATTTTTTTATGTGTAAATACATGATACTTTTTTTTATGTATTTAATGATATTTTAGTGAAAAGAACACTGCCTTTGGAAAATGCTCATCAAAATTAAATTTAAAAAAGGTTTTATAACCGAATAGGGATTTTTTTTATTGTAAGGAATCATAAAATTTTACAGGTCGGAATTTTAATGTAATAAAATATTTATTGATTATGCATGTATTGAAATATAATTTTAATTAGTTTATAAAAGGAGCCATAATATTAGAAAATATTGTTAAGTTACCTTTTGCTTACAATTAAATATGATATAATAAAATAAAAATACATGAACGGTGTTGCCATATAGTTTTATTTGTCTCTCAATTTCAATAAAAATTCTGTACATAAATAAATTAAATAACAATGAATTTATTATTATAAATTATAACATGATTGCAACAATAAATTTAATAGAAAAAAATAAATATATTAACAAAACTATTTACATGATTATACGTAATGTTTCATTAGCTATCATTAGTATGGAATAGTTCATGATATCTTTTGCATATCTGGCATGTGCACGGCGTCTTTGGCCAATATTTCTTACTGGAACTTGTTTTTGTATGGTTCGGTTCTTCATTATCTATATAGCGACTCTCTAGTAACAATTTTTGAAGTCTTTCGTCATTCGGTAAATCTTCTAGGTCGCTGGTCCTAAAAATATAGGACCAAGTGTGTAATGAATAAAACAATAATTATACAGGGTGACTGATGAATTACTATCGATACTTGAGGACGTGATATTTGACGATCATATATGACAAAATAAAAATTAATATAACATAAATATTAATAAACTTTTAAGTAAAGTTAACCAAAAGTTATGTTATTAATTACGCATCGTGTGAACACCCTACAGATTAGGTATACACACACACACACACGTGCGGCGGCGTGGTGTTGTATCAGCACGCCGCCGCACGCGTCCACACTTGGAACGTGTCCACGGTTTATTTATTTATACGGAAATTTGGTCAAAAATTAAGTACCTATTTTTTTTACATAATTCGAATGAGAATCATGTACCGAGTATTCTCCTTAAATATTGATAGTAATTCACCGGTCACCCTGTATAATGAAATAAGGCTAATAGCAAATATTACAATGATCATGAGAAATACTGAAATAATACTATGTTTATCAATGTTAGTATGCTATATTATTCCCGATGTTTCCACTTCTTTGTTGTAACCATTATCACAGACCGACAATGTATTTTACAGTTTTTATTTATATCTACTCTCAAGGAATTTCATTTCAATTAATCTCAACTACTTTGAATGCAAACAGTAGGTATACTACCAACTACGAATTAAAATTGTTGCATGAGAACATCGCTCAGTAAATTATTATCACAGTTTGACTCAAACATCTTCAAGTGACAATAGTCAAAAACATTAATATATAATTATCAATAAATAGGCATAGTCTACTATTAAAATTTTATTTCAATATGTCTAATATAACATTAACATCCTACAAGTCGAAGTAGTGGTAGCTAGATTCCTAAAATCATATTTAATTCATATATATAAAACAAATCACTCGAATACATATGTAATGTCTGTATATATACTGCACTTATCATACATACTTATCTATATACTAACGACTTCAATCAATCTAAATACAAAGTCTATATAGACTTCGATGATTATATACACTATAAGTATCTATATAAACTCTACAAAAAAATCCATATACAGGCTTCACTAGTGTAGTTGAGTAACACATTCACCTGTTATCTTTTTCGTATGTTAGTCCTTTGAAGGCGCTCGCGTCAGTCGTATCCACAGAGTATACACTGTACTCTGGACACGGCCGAGATCGCGAGCAAGGGGACAGAGACACGCGGGACTTAGATAAGGGACTACAGACAATAGAGAAGAACTACTTTAATATGAAACTTTGATTTTTTTTTGGTGATCTATCACCTGTATATTACAGCTAGCTTCGGAGTGGGGGTAAAGTCGGTAAGGGGTAGTTGTATTCATACATGATTTTAACATGTAAGGGTTGGTTAGATTTGTAGGAAAGGATTTGCTTGCGTCGTTTTTTAGGAATACACAGTACTTATTGTGTTTTGTATGAAGTTTTTAGAACAATGATAATAGAATAAGTAATTATTACAATGGAAATATCTTTAATATTATCGAAACGATATTATCATCACTACTCCTATTACTATATGTTGCTATCCTATGATTTTCTTTCTATACCATCTCTTCGTGGACTGAAAAAAACTTCGTGAAAACTTAATTTTCGTTTTATTACCATAGTTATAAAGTTATATGCATATTTTCATCTCAAGTCATATTTCCTTCCATAGTACGATTACACATAATACGATTCATACTTTGCATTTATGATTTATCCATCCAAAACAGCTGCTTACCGTAGGTATGTTTAGTACAATTTTTAATAGTTATACTAAAAATGGCATTTTTTACGTTATGTATTATATGCATTGAATACATCAAAACCTTTTAATGATTTCCAGTGCAACAAATACAGTAGTGACGTTTCATTACAACGCTTTTATTGGCAGTGGATTTATAGAGAAAAGAAAAAAATATTACTTATAAACTTTTAACAGTTCTTATCATGTATGGAATATTATATGTATATATGTAATATCTTTGAACTCACTTTGGACACCGGCAGACCTTCCCTCGCTCTTTATCTAGACTGCAGCATGACACAGACCCGTCTGAACGACTTCTAGACCTAGACCGGACGATCCTTCCAGTTTTATTACACTTTGTTCTGGAAACAGAATTATTAACTTACACAGGGCTATATGATTATTACAAAGATGTTATTAATGGACATGTTCCAATATTTTTTCATTTGTTTCAATTACTCATGAATGTTTCCATATATGAAATATATTATACACTGTTATTTAGTACTTCGAAAGTTTTTTGCTTTTAAATTTAAATAAAGTTCTCGATTTAAGTTAAATGAAGCGATCGAATTGACTTCTCTACATATTTATTATAAGAATAGATAGATGTAGGTTCCCTTTTCCGGCCCTAAAATTCAAATTTGTGGTCCAATCATATTTTTTTTTTTCATAAAAACCACACCGGATAACTAGGCCATCGAAACAAAAAACCTGGACTCGTTTGGACTTTCAGTTGTTGAGATCGTCTCCATGGGTAAATGAGCCGAGTTACCAGTAAAGAGTTCCGTTCGCTTCTCGCGTTTCACTCAATAAACTTTAGGATTCATAGTTTTACAAGTATATTCACCTGTGATACTGGGCTGAATGACAGACTTGCCTTTGCCTTGAACTCTCAATATTTGGCGGCGAACAATGACATTCTTTCGCCTTTGTGGTACTCAACAAATTGCAGGGTAGATTCCAAACTTCATCAATACGAACTTTAGTTGCTATTTCGATTTTAGGAGAAAGGATACCCTAAAGGATAAATATTATTAGTGATTAATACTAAAATATCACTAAATAATGTTATAAGATATATATTACTGGGAATTCTTTAGATCTTCTCATGAGTAAGTCAACCCCATCAGTTGAACACATGTTAGGTGGAAAAAGCACATCGTTCATTGCTCCCAAGTACTGCGCCAAGATGACACAGTCACTTAAATTACAATCCTCGCACCATTGGACCAGCTCGCAATATATTGTTTCATCTTCTGTAATTGTTAATACATAAACTATTATTAAAATAATTATAAGTAATAACTGGAATATTAATTTGATTGTATATATGGGTATCACTATTTGGATAGGTATGGGTTGATGTATTTCTTTTTGCTTACTTGGAGTTACTTTTATCTTGCAAATATATAGTTAATTTCTATTCTGTTGGTGACAATAACTGTCCTTTTATGATAATATTTCAGTATTAATATATTTAAGAGAAATAATTTATATTTATCTAGACCTTTTTTGGTGGTAAACATTCATATTGTGTGGAATCTCAGCAATTAATTACAAAATATTGTTTAAGAAATTTATATAATAATGTATAAAAAGAATATTTGATTTTACTGTGTATATATATACCAGTTGTTTAAATTACCTTACTTGTGAAGTAACATACAACATATTTGTTCTACATACTTAAAATGATACTTACTCAGTAAGCAACAAATGTTATTAAGAGCACAGCTTTCTTGAAATCTTTTTCGAAAATAAAACACGTCTCTGAAGGGTAATGGAAAAACTGGAGGTAACAGGCAGGTTTGGTAACTAGTACCAAGAGCAAATACTGTGAGAGATACACGACCATCTTGACATAACCATACACCAGGACATGACACCTACAATTATAAGTAATAGTAAGCTAACAAAGTAATAATAATTTTAAGTATTTAAATTTTAATCAAAATAAAACGCGAGTAAAATCCGAAAAAAATATTAGTTTCATTTAAATGAGTACTCGCGAAAATCTTAGATCTCATTATATTACTAATATAATAAAATTGTGATAAAAATATACTCTTGAGACTTATTTAACTGTCAAATGATAAAACTTGAAGTACATATTTAGTAAATGTATTATATTTGAAGACATGGGCTTACCTTTTGTATTTCTATTTCAATGGTTAATTCAATAACTTTAGGCATGTTTAGGTGTCATATTTCTTAACCTAAACACACCACATTAAATAAAACACATAAGTAAAAGAATGAATTGTTAAGTCATAGTGTAGATGTTCACATTGTAAATACTGAATTAAATACTGAAAATAAAAAGGGTAGAGAAGGTTGGTATTTAGTAAAACGACATTGTACCAAAAAAAGAATTAAGTGCTGTTTTAGCTGATAAATAAACCCTTTAAATAATTTTAATAATAGTATTGGTTTTTTACTGTTTGTTTACCTTTGTTGTCAAACGGTAACTATGACAACTATGATAGATAGATTATTTAATGTATGTAGAGATTTTAAGGGATATTTACCATTTATTATTAAGAAGAATAAATAATTCTATCTTAAAAGTAATCCTCATTATTATATATTTTATTTTAATGGGACTAGATATATAATGGGTCAAAATGTGCAAAACTATGAAATTGTATATCTATCTGTCTGATTTCGTAATATTATATCATCTATATTACATCAAAGTTGAAACTACCAGTTCCTTTTTAAGTGTGATTCTAATTTGAAATTTAAAACTATGAATTCATGTTATTAAATAATATAATTTCTATGTACATATTGTTAAGATTATTAAATAACCATGACTAAAGTTGCATCAGTAATCCACTGGTTTCGATTAGATTTACGATTGCACGACAATCTTGCTTTACGAAATGCAATTAACGAAGTAAATTAACTTTGTTGAACTATTAAAAACTTTAATATGTTATGTTACAAATTACTTAAAATAATATTGTAATTTTTTCAGGCAGAAAATCGCAAACAGATATTGAGACCTATTTATGTGATCGATCCTGATATTAAAAATAGAGTTGGATGTAATAGACTCAGATTCTTATTTCAAAGTCTTAAAAACTTAGATACAAGTCTTCGTAAAATTAACACTCGTCTATATGTTATAAAAGGCAAAGCTGTTGAATGTCTACCAAAGTTATTTGACGAGTGGCACGTAAAATTTTTAACTCTGCAAGTTGATATTGACGCAGATTTAGTGAAACAGGATGAGGTTATTGAAGAATTCTGTGAAGCAAACAACATTTTCGTGGTTAAAAGAATGCAACATACCGTATATGATTTTAATAGTGTGGTGAAGAAAAACAATGGCAGCATTCCACTCACATATCAGAAGTTTCTTTCATTAGTATCTGATGTACAAGTTAAAGACATCATACAGATTTCGAAGAGTGTGTCTGATGAATGCAAAGGCAATGATTATGATTCCCAAGATTATGATGTCCCTTCATTAGAAGAATTTGGGATAAATGAATCCGAGCTCTCTGAATGTAAATATCCTGGTGGAGAATCTGAGGGTTTGAAAAGATTGGATGTTTACATGGCAAAAAAACAATGGGTCTGTAAGTTTGAGAAACCTAAATCCTCACCGAACAGTATTGAACCAAGTACTACAGTATTGAGCCCATATATCAGCCATGGCTGCTTGTCGGCTAAGTTGTTTTATCATAAGCTAAAGCAAGTTGAGAGTGGAAGCAAACACACTCTGCCGCCTGTTTCACTGATGGGACAGCTCATGTGGAGAGAATTTTATTACACAGCTGGTTCGGGTACCAAAAACTTTGATAAAATGGAAGGAAATTCTGTCTGTACACAAATACCTTGGAAGAAAAACGATGCTCACTTAAAGGCATGGGCAGAAGGTAAAACTGGGTATCCCTTTGTAGATGCTATAATGCGCCAGTTAAAACAAGAGGGTTGGATTCATCATTTGGCAAGACATATGGTTGCTTGCTTTCTAACAAGAGGCGACTTATGGATATCTTGGGAAGAAGGAGCAAAAGTCTTTGAAGATTACCTTCTGGACTATGATTGGTCTTTGAATGCTGGAAACTGGATGTGGCTATCTGCTTCTGCCTTTTTCTATAAATACTACAGAGTATACAGCCCAATAGCTTTCGGTAAGAAAACAGATAAAGATGGGCTGTATATAAGAAAATATGTTCCCGAGTTGAAAAAATATCCTAGCGAGTTTATCTATGAACCATGGAAGGCTCCAAAGGGTGTTCAGAAAACAGCTGGCTGTGTTATTGGCGAGGGATATCCGAACAGAATTGTTGATCATGATAAGGTCCACAAAGAGAATATTCAGAAAATGAATGCTGCTTATAAAATTAATAAAGAGAAAAAGGCAATGAAGAGACCAAGACAATAAAATATATTGAATTATGAGCTCTTAAATAAGTACAAATTTTTTCTAGTTTTGAATCTCTCTTAATACTGTTTTAAAAGTTTTTTATTTTGTACAGAATAAATTTTATGTTAACATTTAGAGAGTTTAATTAAACAGAAATATCATTTTCACTAAAATTCAGAAATTATTTTACAATTAGTGTACGAACATACAATACGAAATATTTACGTCTTAACTGTAAAAATGATAAATTATGAAAATATATATTGGTGTGAAAACTTCTTATTTAACTGAATCGCCGATTTCATTAATCTTTATGATAAAGTTGTCATAATAAGTCGTTTAGACAAGTTAAGCTGTCAGTTGTCACAATATAATGACAAGTTAACTGTTATTAAAAGTAGGTGTAAACTTTGTATTTAATTTCTCTTTTTTTTCATTGTGTTAAAGTTTTCATAATTTTATGTATTCAATAAATATATATATCAATTATGTGACACTGATAAGTCTTTTATACTTCTACAATACTAGTGGATTAAAAGTACAATAATAGGGGAGTATTATGATTATGGGGTAAGTATAATATATGATGTTCTCTGTAATTTATAAATAATAGCAAAATAATACTTCCACTCATGCAAAAACGTATTCATACATTTAAATAATAAAGCTACCTACAGAATTTATTAAAACACAACTGGTTTATTTGCATATAATTTGCTTCCTTCAATGAACTATGAAGTATATTTAAAAAAGATAAAATGTTTTACTGCCTTAGTACTTACCCTGATAAAGATATACTAATATAGTGTTTGTTTTATATATAAATGTTTGGCTTTGTTTGTTTTTAAATTGTGTTTAACTAGAAAAAAATAAAGTAACAAAAAGAAATGTGTGTTTGGCTTTACAAATAGTAAATAAAAACAGTAGTATGTAGCTGAACTTGTGACCCCTTCATTGTTACAATCAGGTTAAAACCAAACTTAATTTTAGATATTGAATAATATTTAAATAAATGTTTATTCAAATTATGTTAATTAAAAAGAAACTATTTAATTATTGCCCCAAAAACTAGTTATTAGAATAACACAGAAATATTGAGTTCAAATGATCATAAATTTGAATGGGTTTTTCTATAATTTCAAATGAGTTTAATAAAATTACATTGCCTTAAGGAAAATTAAACAGCCTGTCTTTGTTTACATTTAAATAAAGTTATTATAAGGTGCAAACAACTATTTATACTAAAAATTATCTAAAAAGCATTATTTTGTGACTTTTGCTATATTTGTTTAATATAGCAAAAGTAATACTTCAATAATAATATGGGTTTTATGCAATTTTCCTAATTAAATTTGAAGTTTTAAGATAAATAGTAATTTTGAAAAAATATTTATATTTGGCCCATATATTCAATTATTCATTTTATCACATTCTAACCATCATAAGAATATTGATGTCATAGGCTTCTAATACAAATATGATTTTTATGAGTGTTATGAATTGTAGATTATATTTTTATCACATAAATACACCATATTTCATAACACGAAACATAAATAGCACCTAATTGTATGTGTGTAGTCTGTTACAACAGAGAATTTGCTTATTAAATTAATTTACAAGAATAAAGTAATGTGAAATCTGCTGTTACAAAACTTGTTAATTATTAGAGCAGAAAAAATGCATCGTATCAACTGTATATTTTACTGTTGACTTGTATTTACATATGATAGGCAAAGATTTTCATACAATTAGTTTCGTGATAAAATATATTAGCATTGAAATGTAGGATCTTGTTTTGAGTTTAAGACATTTTTTTATCGATCCTTTTTATATTTAATATTAATTCCACTTTGACATTAATTTTAGGGCATTATGTATAGATTTTTCTCCTAGCCCTGTTTATTTAAATAAAGTCTTAAATATTCAACAAGTTTTAACTGGTTATTGTTTTGATAAATATGTCAAAATGTAGTGCTTTATTATGCACACAATGTGTCAAGATAAGACTTTTATTTTTTCATATCTGAATGTTTCAAAGATAGTGTGCACTCTAAATGAAATATTTAAGATCATATCCGTCAGGGTATTGTCACACAGGATACTATTTATAAATTATGGCCGCCTTGTTCGCTTTCACGAGCGGCAGTTTTGCGTTGATGGGGAATAACTGCATTTGTAAAACTTACTTGAGAAAGTTTTACCATATACAGGGTGACTGGTGAATTACTACCAATATGTAAGGAGAATACTCGGTACATGATTCTCATTCGAATTATGTAAAAAAAATAGGTACTTAATTTTTGACCAAATTTCCGTATAAATAAATAAAGTGTGGACGCGTTCCAAGTGTTCCAAGAGTGGACGCGTGGTGTTGTATCAGCACGCCGCCGCACGCGTGTGTGTGTGTGTGTATACCTAATCTGTAGGGTGTTCACACGATGTGTAATTAATTACATAACTTTTGGTTAACTTTACTTAGAAGTTTATTAATATTTATGTCATATTAATTTTTATTTTGTCATATATGATCGTCAAATATCACGTCCTCAAGTATTGATAGTAATTCACCAGTCACCCTGTATATTTTCCCCATACGAAATGTAGTACATGTATGCACTACTGAGTATTATACGTATGTGATGGCTCACGTAAGTTTCGTTGATTTAAAGGAATGGACATATATTTATTTTAGTAAAAGTAATAATTTTATTCTTAACGATTATCGTATGAATGCGGAGACTAATGAATTACTATTATTTATCGATGGACACGGTAAATACTTTGTTTTGTTGAAAAAAAAATGGGTTTAGACAGAAAAAACAATATTTGAGAAATTGTTGGTGAATTATTCCATTTATTTCTATAAAGTAGATACGTTTTATACGAAAATAAGGAAAAATTCTCGGATTAATTTTTTGTTACTTAATGTCATTGACAGTGAATGACATTTAAACATTTTTCCTGTTTTTTTTAAATTAATTACTTTTTTTAGGTTTTGTTTAACCTGTGAGTTTCTTACTATGAGGAAAAACATGCTAAATGAATTGTAACTTTTCACTGTTTTGATAGAACTTATATTTTTATCGTGTGCTTGATGTAGCAGACAAGCATGGTACATCAATTCGGTCTTGAAATCTCCATTTTTTCTTAAAGGAATTATTTTGACAGAGGACAGAATAAAATTATGATATGAACATTGTATAACTCATTAACAGCCTGTTAAAACATTAATATATGAACGAACATTCATGTTAACAATAGTTACGTGTACAAATGTACCTTTGACAATTTATCAATTGTTGCTCTGATAACTATAACGCATTGAATTGTTGGGTAAGAGGTTATTTTGCAAATTAATTATTTCCTGTCACTATACAAATGGATTGCTCTAGAAAGCTGTTCACTATTTGTTCGTTTGCTATGATTCGCTTTGATATTGTTTTGATTTTTAGAGTTTTACTGCAGTAGCTGTTAATGTGATGTAGTCAAACGACGATAAATTCTTTTATTTAAGTTTTGATAGCAATGTAAAATGGTGAAAAGTATTTTTAAGTAGCATATTCTAGTGTTATAAATACGTATTAGAAAAATTGTTCGTGACAGATTAAATACAAAAACGAGTAATCCAATTTACAAAAGTGGGCAATTTAATTATTTATTTTTCGATACAATTAATCTCAATTTTTAGTCTATTATAGTAAAAATTTTGTAATTTGTTTTTGTCGAAAGAAATTATTTATATAAGATAATGAAATGAAATTTTTAAGGTACTTTTGGTTAAAATACCTAATTGTTTTTTTTATTCAAAAATATGTCAAAAAAGAACAAAACTTAATACTGTTTGTTTTATTATATATAAAACTTAAATTTTTAGCTGTTCGAATCGAAATTAGAAAATGTTTGTTTTTTGGTTGTTTAGTATTTTTTTCGTGGGATAAAGGAATGAAACCAAAACGTGGAGCAGCTTTCAATATGTAGTATATAAAAATTATTCTCATAAATTTAAAGCATATAAAATGTTCATAATATTTATTATTTATCAATAATTATATTCTACTACGTCTTAATATCTGATGAAATAACAGTTTTCGTTATGTATATTAATTCCTTACGTATTTTCTCTGATATTGTTTTAGAAGATATAAACATAACATAAATATTATTGGATGGATATGTTTTTGATCAATTGCATTTAGTATTATTATTTATAGTCTTGATTATGAGCTAGGTTTAGCTAGCGGTTTCGTTCATATTGAGTAAAAAATGAGTGAATTTATATGACATGTGGAAATATCTCATATTCTTCAAATGTGATTATAATAAAGTATTATAAATAGAGGAATTAGAATGTTTTGATTGTAAAGAAGTTCTATTCTTATTTTGCAGTATAGGTACGTTAATATGAAAGAAATAAATTTAACCTATATTAGTGACATTTTCTACGTTCATGAGATTTTTTGTAGTGTCTCATTTCATTTGATTGCGATTTCAAAAAAAATATTGTCAAATTGAAAGGAAAAGTTCATGTAGTTTTTTTTAAAATAAACAAACAAACACGTGGCTGAAAAAAAATGTATTTAGTAATAAATATACGTATGTGTAGTTTTTAATAAAAAAATAAATTATTTATGCAATTTTCAGCAATTTAATAATTGTATATGAATTTCTAATATATTATTTAATACCTGATATATATCAAGATATAAATAACATATAGTAAGAAGAAGCAATTAAACATAAATAATGACATATTTGAAATTTGTTATTGAGGAAAAATATGTTTTTATAGGAGAACTTAATGGATAGTATATTATTATGTAATGCTTCAATAACGGTTGTATAGAATGTTTGATTTTCTAACTCAGGGCTCGATCGCTTAGTTGACAAAGAGACTGGGACGCAATATCCTGGTAGTTACAGGTTTGAGTCCTGTCCAATATTAAATTAACTGTATAGATTTGATATTCAATTGTATTGACTATAAAAGTAAGTAACTTAGTAAATAAGACTAGTAA